GTCACTGATGCTGATCTGGGGACCAGGCTGAAGTTCCTTACGGTCGCCAGCTGGTTAGATACTAGAATTTAAAGGTGGGAACTCAAAAGTGAAAGCACTGTTTTACTTTATGATGTAGGCGGATGGAGAATAAGGTACAAAGACAAAGCATGGATGAAACCAAATCTATGCTTAGGCAGTAAGCCACTATGTCAACTAGGAATTTTTGGTTGTAAGTAATAGAAACTGGCTCTGATGAACTTAATGAGGAGAAGGGAGAAGTTTATGGATGCATTTGGAGCAGCTCACAGAATCTAAAGAAAAAGCACATAATAGGTTTACAAGGGACAGGGTCCCTTCTGAAAAAAGAATGGGACATTTCTCTAGGGTTCCACTGTTGGAATGAGAGGGCAGCAACTGTTTTCCATCTTTTGGTCTTTCTTATGAAGATTCACATTGCCTGGCACACAGTAGGAGCTCAATACATAGATTGAATGAAGGAAGGAATGGATGGAACTTTCATGGAGAAAACATCTAATTTGCTAGCCTGGATCGCATACATGACCCCTGTGAGGAGGGGAAGGGAGGGTATCTCTGCCAAAGGTCTCACCAAAGCCACATATAATAGGGTAGGGTGGTTCAGACACAGTGGAGAATGTATGGGGGGCAAGCAGAATCCCAGAAATGCCTGTTACAGGCAGCAAAGAAATGGCTGGTGGATTAGAGAAAGTGGTGTCTCCAGTCATGGTGGGGAACATCTCCTGGTTGTATAGCTCTAGACATCTACTAATTTCTAGAAGAAAAACTTCAGAAAGAAGCATGCCAACCTTCAAGGCTTGGGGGGGGGACCCAGGAAGTAAACAGCTGAGCTAGCTCTAAAAAGAGGTGAAGATGCTGAAAGGTGGAGCATGTTTAGGTGAGTCTGGGGAGGAAAGTGGGGCTCAAAATGATAACACCAGGGTGACACATTTGATAATTAGCTACTTAAGTTCTTGAAATAAGCCCACTTCCTGAGAGCACACTTCTCCCATAATATCCTTTTTCTGCACATTAACAAATTGCTTTTTAAAGTCTAACAGGTATTACAAACCAGGACACATCTCAGTTAGGTGGTCATAGTCATCTCTCTCCCTGGGCTCAACCCAACTTACCCTCTTGCTATTCTTTAAATATGGCAACCTTACCGCCCAGCTCAGGGCTTCTGCACTTGCTGTATCATCTGCATGGCATACTCCTCCCTGTTTTCACCAGGTTGCCTCCTTATTCTATGCAAGAGTCACCTCCCCAATTTATAGATGCTTCCAGTCACTCTCTGCAAATTGATATATAGTATTTCCTCCATAGCGCTTACTGTTCTCTAAAATAATCTTATCTGTTTAAATGTGTGTGTTTACTGAATGTCTCTTGCATTAGAGTGTAGATTCCATGAGAGTAGAGACCAGGCTTGTCTGTTTCACTTCTGCATCCTGAAGAGTTAGATCAGCAGCTGGCACCTTGTAGGTGCTCAATAAATATTTATTAGTATTAAGATACTTTATTCCTAGAATAAACTCAACTTAGTTGTAGTATAGTCTTTATTCCCACACTCAATTAGATTTGTTTTGTTGAAATTTTATTTAAGAGTTTTATGTATATATTAATCAGTGGAAAGGACCTATTTCCTACTCTGAAATCCCCCTCTGGTTATTTTCTATCTAGTTATTCTGAGTTGGGGAAGCATTCCTTGTTTTCCATTCTCTAGAAGAGTTTGTATAAGATAGAAATTATCTAGCCCTTGAGGCTGGCAGAACTCTCAATAAAGCCCTTTGGGCCTGTTGTTTTTCTTATGGGAAGACTTTACATGACTGCTCCATTTTCTTAATAATTGTAAGACTATTCAGGCTATTTCTTTTCTTTTCTTTTTTTTTTTTTTGGATAGGTAAGGAAAGTCCTCCCCTACCCTTGGAACTTGACCATTTCATTTAAATTTTTGAACAAAATTAAGTATAGTAGTTACATCTGGAGTTTTTGTGTTCTATGATGGATTGATGTATTCAATATATTATTTCAAATCATGTAAAATGTAAAAGGTCCACCACAGACCTAATGATGACAGCATGTTTTAAATCAAGAATTATGATGAATCCAATTTGGTGTATTCAGTTTCCATTGAAAATGCATTATTTGCTGAAAATATGAGTGACTGAATCTATCTTGGTGCCCAGGGGCGGATACTCCCCAAAGGTGAATCTTGCAGGTCCCCAGCAACACAGACAAGCCTTGATGGGAACTGTCCAGTCAACTCAGACTTATATCTTTTTAAAAATATATATTTTTATTGAGAGGAAGGAAGAGGGAGATAGAAACATCAATGATGAGAGAGAATCATTGATTGGCTGCCTCCTGCGCGCCCCACATTGGGGATCGAGCCCACAACCCGGGGAATATGCCCTGACTGGGAATCAACCGTGACCTCCTGGTTCATAGGTCAACATTCAATCACGAGCCATGCTGGCTGGGCTCAGTCTTACATATTCTCCCAATTCAGACTATGAAGGTCTTGAAAGATCTCTCTGCTGTATTCCACAGGCTGGATGCTGGGCCTATAGCACCCCCAATATTAGCTCCCTATTTGTTGGGAGTTAGGAAAAAGCCACATAATTTTTCCAACAGTAGTTTCCAGACACCAGAGAAGAGTGAAGAGGCATCCTGAAACAGAGCTGAATTAAAGACAGCCCTGTGGCACGACGCTTCTCTGCCATGAAATTACTATGGGACTTAATATATGTCTAGGTCATCACCATGCTACAAGGATAAGTGGATTAAAAAGAAAGCAATTTCTGAACAAAAATGGTGAAAAGTTTGCTAGTAAGGAGAGGGTGAAGATTCGGGAACCTATAAATTGATGTCAGCTGAGCACTCATTGTAGGGTGTCTGGCAAATGGATTTACTATTTTTCCAACTGTAATAAAGTATTACAAAATTGCTTCTATGCAAACAATTGTTTTAAAAGGGTCCTTACATCAAACAATGCAATTCGTGTGCTTTTCAAGCAATCACAAAGCTGGAGACTAACTTAGAAGTATTAGAAGTAATTTTGCTTGGAATCATGCTGAATACTAAGATTGAGGTGCTCTTTCCTCCTCAACTCCCTCTCTTTCATCAGTCCTTTTTTTTTTTTTTTAATCCTCACCCAAGGATATTTTTCCATTGGTTTTTAGGGAGAGTAGGAGAGAGAGGGAAAGACAGAGAGAAACATCGATCTGAGAGAAACACATGGATTGGTTGCCTCCTGCATGGCCCTGACCAGGGCCTGGGTTGGGGAGAGCCTGCAACCAAGATACATGCCCTCAACCAGAATCAAATCCGGGAACCTTTGGTAGGCAGGCCGATGCTTTATCCACTGAGCCAGTCCAGCTAGGGCGGGATCTGTCTTTTAATGCACCAACACAACTTTAGTTTTTGTGGGGAAAGGGTAAAGGGAAGACAGGATAGGGACTTTGGAGACAGTACTGTGAAGGGAGGCAGGTGGGTCCAGAAATGAAAAGATGGAAATCATTCAATTAAACTCCACCATCTTCATCTGTAAATAGGGATTAAAAACATATGCCTGTCCTGACGGGATCCCAGGGGGAATGCTGGGCTACTTGAGAAAGCTGCATATAAAATTCCAGCTCTACTAGACTCTCTCTATCTGCATAAAGTCTGTCATAGGAAGCCTCATCCTTTCACTTTATCAGGACCACAGGGGGGAAATTATATGAACTCTGCTGGTGGCATTATGATTTTTTCTGGAAAATGGGTTAAGTCAAGTTCTTTGAACGTTTTTCTACCCTGAACACCCATATGAATTAAGTCCTTGCACTTAGAAGATTCTATAAGACTAACTGAAGAATAATGTTGCAAACAGCAACATTTTATCCTCTGATTGAAAGAGGCTGTCCAAAATATACAAAAATAAATTTGCGTTAACTTTTTCAAACTTCTAAAAACTCCTTAGGACAGGAGGCAAACAAAATGCCTCCAGATCTCCAGCATTTACTGGCCCACAAGCTTCTGGATTCCTCACGATTCTGCCAAGGCCTCAACTGGGGTCTAATAAACTGGGCATTGAACACCCCATCACCTTCAGTTACTAAAGGCTATTGCAATTGTCCCGTTTTACAGATGAAATTGAGGTATGGCTTGGTCTGAGAGAGAGAAAGAGAGAGAGAGAGAGAGAGAGAGAGAGAGAGAGAGAAGGATTTTCTCATTATCTTTAAAGAAAATATTAAAGTAACTAAAAAATGATCTAGTTCAAAAAACGGTGTTTCCTTTAGGGCCAAATCGTTTGATCTCATCTTTGAGACCAAGAAGCAAGACAAGTATTTTACTGTAAATTAAAACACCTCCCCGCACCCCCATTCCCGAGGGCGTCAGTCACAGTGGTCTCAGCATTCCAAGCTGAGATGGGGAGAGCATCTGCTGGAGTATATAAATCCGGAGTCCCTATCCATTGGTGGAGGAAAGCCTGGAGAAGACACCGCCTGTACAGTCCCTGGAAGACGTGTTCTTTGATCCCGGGGTCAAAAAGATTTATTACTTCCTCGGTGAGGGAGAAACCTCAGGCCAGCAGAACCCGAGAGCCGCGAGTAGAAAGCCTGAGGGCGGCGCTCTGCGGCCTAGCATTTCCGCGCGGGTGCGTCCTGGGTTTCCGGAGGGGTCGGGCGGTTCCGACCCCTAAAGAAGAGCAGAGTGGGCGGTCGCTGGGGGATTTCTACTTTACCAGAAAGCAAAAATGTGCAGATGAGCCCGGCAGCTGCACGCAGAATCCAAATTACCCAGAGCCCGGGCGCCCCAGCGCTGCGAACCTCGCGTCCGCGGCCGGAGCTCTGCGCACGCGTGGTTGAGGCCTCCCCCGGGTGATGGCCACCAGAGCAGCCCCGCAGTAAATCCTGGCCCACATCTCCAGACCTCAGAGCGGTGCGGCGGCGCTGAGAGGGGGCGGGCGCAGGACCCGCGGCGGAGGGCAGCGCAGCGAAGGGGAGGAGCCGCAGCGATAGACGGCGGCGCGCACCAACCCGGCGCCGCCTGGCCGGTGCCGCGCCGAGGCTGGCCGGGGCGTGTTGCAGGCGCTCCGAGTAGGGGCATCTGATAGCTGCATCTTCCCTTTCGCGCGGCGGCGACGGCAGCGGTGCGGGTTTCCTCTGCCCCGATACCTCGTGGGCCTGAAGCGGCTAGTGCCAGGATCGGGGCGGGCAAGGGAAAGCTGCGGCCCGCGCTTTTTAGCCGAGAGCTCTGTGTATAGGATCCTTCCGGGCCAGTCGGAAACTGAGGAGCGGCGGGGGCCGACTATGCCCGCCAGAGCATCCTCTACGTAATGGAAGAAGCCGCCGCTGCTGCAGGGTCGCGGTGCGCCCCATCCACTGCCGCCAGAGAGATGGGTACAGTCGGGGCGCGGAGGCCAAGAGCGTGAGAGGCGGAGCCGCTTTGCCCGGAGCTGGGTCTCGTTTAAGCCTCCTCCCCTCAACCTCCCTCAGTGGGCATCGGAGCCCGGAAGGAAGCTGCTGTCCGGGCGCCCTGGGCTCAGCGGAGCGCGGAGCAGAGCTCCTGGCCTGGTGAAAGTTTCCCTTCCCCAGTCGCAGGGCGCCCGCTTCCCGGAAACTGCCCAAGGCTTGGGCTTCCGAATGCCGTGGCACCCCCTGAGGCACGGAGACCCCCAGCGTAAGACAGCGCGTGAGAAATCGAGGAACGAATAACAACAGCAGGACAGACCTCCGAGCCGCGATCCCAGGCCGCTCCTGGTCGCGCCCGCGGCTCCAGGTGAGCTGGGGAGCCAGGCAGACTGGAGGATGGGTGGTACTTAGGCGGAGGCGGCAGCTGGGAGTAGGATTGAGGCGCACCAGTTTACTCCGCTTACCCTCGCAGGTCTTTCTGGGAGCCGCTGCCATGGGAGAGCCAGTCCTGGGCGCCGAGGACCAGCCGCCGCTGCTGCCGCCGCGCCCGCCTAGGAGCCGCGGCCCCAGTTCTCGCGCACGAAGCCGGCTCGCTGCGTCCCCCGCTCGGGCTGCAGGGCTGCCTCCGCCACTCCGTGGACCCCGAGTGAGCCTGTGATGAGCCGCAGCCCGCTGGGAGCCTTGTCCCCCGGCGCGCCTCCCCGATTGCTCCCGGCCGCGCCTGCCGCAGCACGCGCCTTGCTCCCACTGAGGTCCCGGCGCCCGGGCCGCCACTGGCCTGCGTCGCCCCTCGGAATGAAGGTGTTCCGTAGGAAGGCGCTAGTGCTGTGCGCAGGCTATGCGCTGCTGCTTGTGCTCACCATGCTCAACCTCCTGGACTACAAGTGGCACAAGGAGCCGCTACAGCAGTGCAGTCCCGACGGGCCGCTAGGTGCTGCGGCAGGGGTGGCTGGGGACGGCTGGGGGCGCCCGAGGCCTCTTCCAGCTGTGTCGCGTCGCGCACACACCCGCTTGGACCCCCGCACCCCGTACCGCTCCCCCGCGGCCCCTGTCCTAGGGGCTGCGCCGGCAGCGGAGGCGGGGGCCGTGGCCCCTTCCGGCAATAGCACTCGCAGCTCCAGGGGCGGTGAGATCAAACGGCAGTTGGTGTACGTGTTCACCACATGGCGCTCGGGCTCGTCCTTCTTCGGGGAGCTCTTTAACCAGAATCCCGAGGTATTCTTCCTATACGAGCCAGTGTGGCACGTGTGGCAAAAACTGTACCCGGGGGACGCCGTGTCTCTGCAAGGGGCAGCGCGGGACATGCTGAGCGCTCTCTATCGCTGTGACCTCTCAGTCTTCCAGCTGTACAGCCCCGCTGGCAGCGGGGGGCGCAACCTCACCACACTGGGCATTTTTGGCGCTGCCACCAATAAGGTCGTGTGCTCTTCGCCGCTCTGCCCTGCCTATCGCAAAGAGGTCGTGGGGCTGGTGGACGATCGTGTGTGCAAGAAGTGTCCACCCCAACGCTTGGCACTCTTCGAAGAAGAGTGCCGCAAGTACCACACGCTGGTCATCAAGGGCGTGCGTGTCTTCGATGTGGCTGTGTTGGCGCCGCTACTTCGCGACCCGGCCTTGGACCTCAAGGTCATCCACTTGGTGCGTGATCCTCGTGCTGTGGCCAGCTCACGCATCCGCTCGCGCCACGGTCTCATCCGTGAGAGCCTGCAGGTGGTACGCAGCCGGGACCCGAGAGCCCATCGCATGCCATTCCTGGAGGCTGCTGGCCACAAGCTGGGTGCCAAGAAGGAGGGTGTGGGTGGCCCAGCAGACTACCATGCACTTGGCGCTATGGAGGTCATCTGCAACAGCATGGCCAAGACACTGCAGACAGCCCTGCAGCCCCCTGACTGGCTACAAGGCCACTACCTAGTGGTGCGGTACGAGGACCTGGTGGGAGACCCCGTCAAGACCCTACGGAGGGTGTACGACTTTGTGGGACTACTGGTGAGCCCTGAAATGGAGCAATTTGCCTTGAACATGACCAGTGGTTCGGGCTCCTCCTCCAAGCCTTTTGTAGTGTCTGCCCGTAACGCCACCCAGGCAGCCAACGCATGGCGGACTGCCCTCACCTTTCAGCAGATAAAACAAGTGGAGGAATTTTGCTATCAGCCCATGGCTGTGCTGGGCTATCAGAGGGTGAATAGCCCCGAGGAAGTCAAAGACCTCAGCAAAACCCTGCTCCAAAAGCCCCGGCTCTGAGGGTTTCTTGGGAGGCCTGACTGGAGGTGGGAGACACCCACAGGAAGACTGTTGAGGTGGGAGAGAACCCACCCACAGGGGACTGTGGTGTGTTTAAACAGAAACAGTCCAGACCCAAGCCGAGGAAGCCCACATATTCTACTATAGATGTATAATATAAAAAACCACACAGACACTTGCTGTCAGTGTTCCCAGTCTTGCATTTCAAGAACAGTCACAATACACACACATCTCAGAAAAGGCGAGACTTGAAAGTTCTGACCAGCTGCCTTCCTGTCCTCTCCCTGCCTTTTCTCCCTTTCCCTTTCCCCCAGGTCTTACCCTCTCTCCTACCTGCCCTGCATTTTGAAGTGGGATACTGATTAAATCAAGATCCAGTAACCCAAATCTTGTTTACAAAGTTTTTGTGGTATCTGTGAACATGTAGTAGTGTAATTTGGATGTGGGGTGAGGGAATAAAAAAAGGGGAAGTGGCCCAGGAGCAGAAAGCCCCATTGGGAATAATAAACCAAGGAGGCATTCATTTAAAGTAGACTTCTCTGTAAAAGCAAAGGTTATATGTGAGTATTAATAAAGAAGAAAATAAATAATACTAATTTTTATACTTGCCTCCATTACTTTGGATTTACCTGTGTTGATCTGTAGCTTCAGACAGAATCTGCTTCCCATTCCTGAACTCCCATTTCCAGTCTGTTTCCTAGAGAACAGTTAAGATGGGTGGGAGCAGCTTCTTGCTCCCTGGGAGTTGTTTTCTTACATGTAAATTGTAGTCTGTCAGGTGCCAAGGAATGGGGAAACATCTTCAAATTCAAAACCAAGCCAGGAGCGCAGAAAGAATAAAGCATTCGATGTTAATTAATGAGTTAAGACTGGGGAATTCTGAAGCAGAGAATAATGTTTCAGTCCTGAGTTTAGTCCAGAAAAAAGATTAAAAAGAAAAGAAAAGTATGTAATTAAAAAGTATTTCTGATTATTAGAACACAGACCTCATATGTTAGTGTGATCATATTGTGACAATGGTAGCAACTTCTTGGGTTAGAAAAGTAAGAGAAGTATATGTGTATGGCATGTCTTTCTGCTTCTGACACATTATGTGAAGGCATATGAAAAGGAAGTTTCACCTGAGAAGTGTAAGGGCACTCACAGGCTTTTCCTTGCTTTTGATCCAAATTAGTACAAAAGAGAATGTGAATTTATAATTGTTTATTTGGGATGCCTCTGGGGCATGCTGCTTTTCTTTATCATAGTTCCTAAAAGTAAAAGTGCAGAGAAACTATAACATGTGCCGACAGTATAAGGTTGCAGCTGAAAGCTTCTTTTAGATATGAAAATAAACTATGAGCTAGTTAGTGTGTTGGATTTTGAGATTTGGTGTTTTCCACAGAGGAACCCATTGCAATTTTCCTCAGTGGCGTTGCTGCTGCACTGAGCCCATTGTGTGGGAGCATTTTGCAGAATGTCATATTACAATGCTACCAAACCTAAAAAGAAACGAGACAGTGTAATTACATATTACATTAAATGGGATACAAGTTCAATATAATTATGAGATCTCTGCAGGCCAACTTGTATGGGTTAAATGCTGAGGATTTTATTTTAAGGAAAGAATATTAAAAAATATGTACATGGGAAATATTTTGACATAGGATGATTCTTAAGTATAATTTTCATTATGTGAAATCTATACTGTTAAGAATTCCAAGGTAAATAAGCACAGAGGTTTAAACAAGATGTATTTAGCAGTGGATTTTATAACGAATTCTAGAATGGCTTATTTTTAATTTACTAAAATAGTTTATAATATTGTGTTTCTTAAGCCCTATTACAGCTATAACATAGTTCATGTTTTCAATGATAGCTTCATGGTAGTGCCTATGCTGAATTATCTTCAGCAGCAGAATATTTGTAATAGCTTTAATTTAAGAATACTTTAAAATTAAATGAACAAAATAAATATTAATGTTGGGTGAGTATAGATGAAACAGATTTGTGAGGAAATTAAGACAGCATAATTAAGAAGCAATTACTCAGAATAAAATAACCATTTAAAAAGAAATTTCATGTGGCATTCAGCTCTTCTCACTTAATCACAGTAAATTCATGCTTAGTTTCTCAGTGAAGGATTTTTAAGCAGTTGAATTCATTCTTTTCTCAGTATATTGAAGCACTTCGATTGCATTATAGTGGAATTACAATGTTCTGGGACCTTGATTTAACAATATATTAGATGCTGCATAGAGCCCTTGCAGCCTGCTGAGTATTTGTGGCCTCTGCTCAGATGAAATTTTAAGCTAAACACCAACAATTCTCCCTTGCTGTGTTCAAATCAGGTTTTCAGCTGTGATTCTCTTGTAGCAGCTGTATTCTCTCCACTCCCACTCTTGGGCTCTGTAATTTGAAAAGATGAATTGTTGCTCCTGGATATTTGTACCTAGCTGCATTCTAGGAAAGTGAGACAGGTGCAGTTTCCCCTAACAACCCAGATAGCCCTATCAGTGACATTCAGCTCCCACAGGCTGGAGAAGGAGAGCAGTGTTTTTTGGCGTTAATAAGCTCTGTCAAGCCCTTGGTGCAAGCAGACCTGTGCCTCAACAAATTACAACAGAGCCTGTGGCCATTTCTGAGGCAGCAAAATGTGAAAGAGGTTCACATTTCCCATCTTGGCAATATATCCATCAGCAGGAGGAAATATTTTTCAGAGCAGGTTATCAGAGTGATATTTATTATTTATTTATTTATTTATTTATTTATTTATTTATTTATTTAAAATTCTTTATTGTTTAAAGTATTACACATGTCTCCTTTTCCCCCCATTGACCTCTCCCCGGCCGGCTGCAGCTCAAAGGATAGCATGCCTGACTTACCCCTTTGACTTTGGAATGCTTTTATCAATGAGATAGTCCTATTTATAAAGTGAAGTACCCATTGCATTTAGTCAACAATATGCGTTTGGAACAAGGCAGCAGCACAGGCTGGAGCTTGAGTTTCAGGGAGCTCAGAGGCCCTCAAAGGCCTCATTCAGACTGACCCTGGGTACCTGGCAGGCAGGGACTGGGGCAAATCCTGTTTCCTTCAGTGTCTATCACAGTATGAGTGCTTGATGAATATTTATTATGTAAGTGAATGGAATATGTAACTATCAAGTTTTGAAAGTCCTCAGAAGGGAAAGAGGAAGAATGTGTTACTTTTTTGGAGAGAGTGCTAAGCAATTCACCAAAGATTGCTGAAGGAAGTGGGCCTTAGGTTCTGTTTAGATGCGGGGCGTGGGCAATAAAAACATCTTTAAGATTTCCAGAATGCCGAAACCGGTTTGGCTCAGTGGATAGAGCGTCGGCCTGCGGACTGAGGGGTCCCAGGTTCGATTCCGGTCAAGGGCATGTACCTGGGTTGCTGGCACATCCCCAGTGGGGGATGTGCAGGAGGCGGCTGATCGATGTTTCTCTCTCATCGATGTTTCTAGCTCTCTTTCTCTCTCCCTTCCTCTCTGTGAAAAATCAATAAAACATATTTAAAAAAAAAAAAGATTTCCAGAATGAGCTTGCATAGACCAATATTTCTCACTGATGAATTTGAAACAAAAATTCAGAATTTCTGAATGTGGAGAGGTAAGTTTCCAAATGAGAAATTTGATTTATACTCTTTGTTTTCCCAAGAGCAAGTTAAAGTTAGGGATCATATACCTGCAAAATAAAGGCTGCCCTAGTGCCTAAGGGAGGGCTAGAAAGTTGTTTATTATTGCAGAAATCATGTGGCATATATTTATTGTTTTTAGTGCTGTGAATGTGCAGTTTAAAGGACTGTGAGGGGGATTTCACCCAGGCATAGGAGTAGCTACTTTCAAGAATTTGTGCTAATGTGGATGCTGAATGAGACCATGGCTGCCTGTTTCCATGAATCCCTGCCCAGCCCTGGCCTGTTCTGGTCAGGATTTCTGTTGTACACACTACAGTGTGGCTGGATTATGCTGTCAGTTTGAAATTAATGTGAATTTGAGGGAGGCCATAAATTAATATTCTCTGATTCTAAGCAATGAAATAAAGATCACATTTGAAACTCAGTCTCTAAAGATGACTTCGGAAAGACCAGGAGAGAAATAAAAAGGTGTGTGTTCTTCATAGTCATGAATAAGGATGAGGCATACCTCACCACTCCCCAACTTTCTTCCCTCTCTGTGATCTCTGTACCTGTGCATACAATGGAGTGTCTGAATGGTCTTTAGGTCTGAAGGAGAGAATATGTTCATGCCAGCTGATGGGCATGTGGAGAGGGACACTTGATCTCTGGCCTCCAGAGAGCGAGTGGCCAATGATTCTTTCCAACCGTATAACAGTTCTGTGTCAGGACCTACTGTGAACAGGTAGAAAATGAAGTGTGTGATGAGATGTCCCCAGGTAAATGCACAGTTTACAGAGCACTTTTGTCACTCACCTTGAGGAGGGCCCTTTCAAATCTGTCATGGCTGAGAACGTAATTTCACAGTCTCCCTCCTTTCTGGGCACCCCAGCTGCTACTTCAGCAGTTCAGGTAGAGCCACTTAGCCGCTTGCCTACGGGCTCTGGTACAAGTGTTTAATAATTGAAATTACAGGGCTTGACTTTTATTACATCTGATACAATTCCACACACCCTTAATGAAGCAATGCTAAGGAAATTGTTAAATGCTGAATAACATCAAGTTTGCAGAACAGGAAGTTTTATGAACCAGTGTTTGGGGATGGTACTGTTTATAAACTTGAAGGAGGCTTGAAGGGGCAGGAGCCTGTCTGTACGCTTCTCAGGATGTAACAGGTGGCCAAGGCCAAAGCTTAACTTTTGGTTGAACCAGTTGTTTGTAATCAGAGGGCAAAGTGTTTTTGGATTGCTTGAATTTTCGGCTCGTGACAGTCACCCGCCAAAGGAATAAATGTGAAATTGATCACTATAACCAAAAGCTACTCAGAACCATTCAGTAATGGTTCCAATTCCAGGTGCAGAGACAGGGCTTGATGGAAATTCAACTTGAAGCAGTTAGTCCTTAGACAGGACCAACTATGTAATTTTTTGGGCTCAGTGCAAAATGAAAATGTGGAACCCCTTAATAAAAATTATCAAACATTTTAATTCAGCAAACAGCAAGGACGTGAGGCCCTTCTGAGTGTGAAGCCCACAAACTGCGTCCAGATGCAGATTTTGAAAAGCCTGACCACAGAGTAAATAATTGAAATTACAGAGAGAATAAATAAGAGTGGCCTTATACGCTCCTGGAAAGTAGGTGTAAAGTTATGAGTTATTGTGTGTAACTATAATTACAGAAAAGATCCTAGCAAGACAAGTGCACTTTGTATGAGGGAATTCAGTGAGTGCACACAGGACGAAGTCCCTGGTGATTGCAGCAAATGATGGACAATGTCCTCTGAGTCATGAATGGGTCTTGATCCTTTTCAGATCCCAGACAGTCTATGCTTTTGTGGAATCCATCTCAGAACAGGTCAGACATCTTCCGTGGGGATGACCTACTTGTCCTCAGTGTGTGGATGCTGGCAATGCCTGCTGATGATAATGTTCCCTCCCTTTGGGAACTACTGTGAGACTCTATTTGCATTGTGTATAATATACAGAGAAAG